TAGCAGCCCCGAGTGTTGCTCCCAAACACCAGCTGGGAAGGTGTGAGCGATGTCTGGCAGCTGAGCCGAGCTCCGGCTGTGCCAGGCGTGAGAAAACCCCGCCTGCATCTTTGGGAGCTCCCTGTTTGTATTCCCGGCGTGCTGCCTCATTACAGCGGGCACTTGCTCTCACACCGCCGGCATAATTGGCTATTGTCATTAATTAAAAGCTCCCGGCTCTCGGAAAATTTGGTGGGGGGATAAAAGAGAGGTTGGGTTTGTCCGCACAGCCGTGGTGGTCCCCAGGATTTTGGACAGACATCACTCCCTTAACAGCACTGCAGCCCGGGCCCAAAAGAAAACAAAACCAAAAAAAAACCCCCCAAAACTTAAGAGAAGTTGAAAGAATTCAAATTCAATTCAGATGAAAGAATTCCATTTAAAGATGGAGTGAGTGACCTCAAGTGCAGTTACTGACAGCTCGTTCCCACAAACGCTGCCATGCAGACAAACCAAATTTATCTCCTTTCTTCCAAAAAACCAGCGAGCTGTGATAAATTTAGTCAGTGCTCCACAGTTTGCAGGGATTTTGCCGTGATATTCCCAGAGAAATGTTACTGTTTATGTCTGTGTAATAGGAGTGGAAGGAAAATCTGCTCTTCCTAACAAGATGTGGATGCAAATCCTGTTTGGGATGGGGTTTGTGTTTGCTCCTGGGGTCTTTGGCTCTGCTGGAAATCCTGTGTGTGGTTGGTTGTTCTATGCTCTGCCAGCCTGGGCTGGCTGGGATGATATTTTCCCAATTTTCCAAGATTATCCATGGTAATAAATGGAGGGAGCTGAGTCAGAGCACAGCCCGAGATCCTGGCTCTCCTGAATTTAACAAGGGATCTGCCCCTTCCACTCTGCAAGGAATCCTTGCTGAGCACCACATGCAGCTACAATTTTTAATTCTCTTCGAATTTTGAATATTGGAAAATATCAGAGGAAACCACGTTGTCAGTGGGACCTGCCAGCAGAGAAACTTAAATTTAGTGCTCATTTTTCCTGCTTAAAGAAGATACTGAGAGGGTTTAAATGGCACTTAAAACCAGTTTTTAGTGCACAGTAATGCAGGTGCACTGAGATGTGATTGAGCAGGATTAATTAACCCCTAAATGCCCATTGCAGAGGGAGGGGGAGTGGGAATTTGGGATGTCCCTCCTGTATTTACAGTGTCCCATCTCTGCACAGGCCACGGGCCAAGCTGCCAGATCCACGAGGACAATTGTCATTGCTGGTGTCCCAGCTGGCCTCCTGCAGGATGATGTCATGGCTGACATCCTCACCATCCACTTCCAAATGTCCAGGAATAACGGTGGGGATGTGGAAGAGGTCACGTATCCCACACGGAACAAAGGAGTTGCCTACATCACCTTCGAGGATCCAGGAGGTGTTTAGATTCCTCTATTAAAATATTATTTAAATTGCAGCCATCCCCCGAAGAATTAACCCCGGAATGTTGATCCCAAGCCAAATGATTTTAAATTGGGATTTTATAGAACTGGGAGGCTTGAAGCCTCTCTGGTAATCAGGCCAAGTTTCAGGATTTTATTTCTGCTCGTTGAAGTAATGACTCACTCGTCATGCAGAGCCTCGTGTTTGTTTTGCAGGAACAAATTTATGCCATGAATAAAGTATTATTTCTGTAGTCAGGCTCTGGGGAATAAATCTCTGCCAATTAATGTGCCAAGGAGACGGGCTCGTGTCTCTCTGAGCAATTTGGAGTAATACATAAAATATTAGCTGAGGGTATTGAGTGGGTACATGAAGGGTTCCAGCAGGCTGGAGGTGACTCAACAAATGCATCTGGGTTTTTTTTTTGTTTTTTTTTTTTAGTTGTGGAGAGTGTTCTGAAGAAGGATCAGCATCTCCTGAAGGACAAGAGGCTGTCCAGGCTCTACCCCCTGGCCGTGAGCCGCTACAGCCAACACGTGAGCTCCTCCCTAATTCACCTCATTAGCTTCAAGCTAATTAACCGCTCCTTTAACTTCTCCATCTCACGATTCCAGGCTTTCCTGTGTGTCACCTCCACCCTCAGCGTGGCTGTGTTCAGACATCGATTTGTTTTGGAGGATTTGGTGGAAGAGATGAGAAAGCAGAGCCCGGATTTGAATTTTGGACCTTTGCAGCCTGATGGGAGAATTGCTGTGCAAGGATCCTTCCCAGCACTCAGAGCACTGAGAGAATTCCTCTTGTTAAAGGCAAAATCCTTCCCAGAGGAGGACAAAAAAGAAGGAAAATCCCATCAGAGACCGAGGAGGAAGCTGCAGGAGCACAGAGGTGCCGTGCAGATGACGAATTCCACCCGGGATGCACAGAGGGAAAAACAAGTGCTGATTCTGGACACGGATATTTATCACTACATGAGGTTCTTTCATCCCAAAACACTCCAGGCAAACGATGTCGTCATTTCTGGTGTCACTGAAGGTGACATCACCACGGTGTGCATTGAGAGTGCTGCTGGCAGGAGAGCTGCTGCTGCACAGGGATTAAGGGCCAAGAAAACGATTGAGGATTTCTCTGTAGAACTCCAGAAAATTCTAAGGAAGGAGAGGATCTGCTTGAAGGAGCACAGCAGGGAGGAGAGGCAGAGGTACAGGCAGCTCTGTGAGAGGCTAAAACCCCGTTACCCTGCCCTGCTGCTCACTCCTTGTGACACCCACGTTGATGTCGTGGGGACTCCTGCAGATGTTTTGGCCTTCACAGAGGATGTGAAGAGGCACTCCAGGTAGGAGTGAGCGTTCCTGTGGTTTGTTCTTCCCTGCACAGCTCCCTCTGTGCCACTGCCACGTCACTTTGTCCCACTCACAGGCTGGCAGTGCACGCCCTCAAAAATACCCAGTTAAGGTCAGGACAAGAAACCAATGATCTCTGCACTGAGGGAGCAAAGAATTTAAACTCTTCTGTCCAGAAAGAGCCACATTTCCCTTTTCATACCTCAGTGCACTCTCATCCCGACTTGCTGTCAAGGAGTACATGATGAGAAAAGAGATTTTTTTTTAAATTTTTTTTTTTATTATTATTTTTTTTTAAGCTGGGTGGGCTAACCTTGTAGGAAACACTGCAGGGAAGTTGTGTGTGAGGTTGTGGGAGGAGGTGAGCACAGCAGACACGAATGGGGACCTTGATCTGCACAGGGACCTTGTCCCCATTGAGGTGCACAGAGGAGAAATTTGGCAGAGCAAAATGCACATGGAATGGACAGGCTTGAGAAAACCTTGGAAATTCTTCCCTGAGGGAAACAGGCAAATTTGTTTTCATAGGAGCAATAATTTTTTTTTTTCCAGCTGCAGAAGCTTCTGCAGCATCTCTTGACAGCACATGAAAGTGTGTCCAGAGATTTGATAGGAAAATTTGGGGGCATTCAGGCTTTGGAATCAGATTCTGTTTATGCAAATCTGTTTCTTTATCCATTTACAAGGGCACAAAGATTTTTTTTTCTTTTTTAAACAACCAATTTAGAAAATAGCTTTTATTTTGTGATATCTGTGTGTTCAGAGTTATTTCTCAAAACATCCAGCTCTTCTGTCTGATGTGCAGGGAAAGTTTTAGGGGGGTTTATGCCATTAAAGAAAGGAGTTGTCCAAAACTTCCAAAAAATGGTGTCTGTGTTGTTTTAACCAAATCCCAGATTTTTGGGTGGAAACCCAGACCTGAAACCCAATAAATGCTCGAGGCATTTTCTTGTCATCGCTGATTATCCATTGCAATGATGGCAGTGAAAGGTGCTCAAACATTTATTAAAAATGACAGAGCAGCAGGCTGATGGGTTTGGGTGCTTTGCTGAATTGGGAGGGGGCAGCAAAATTTAAGAATTTCATCCTTCCCAAATTCTGCAGGTTCTCCAAGGGGCTCAGGGATGGGAAATCTGGAGCAGAGATGAGAAGTTTTTCAACCTTGTCACAGAGAAAATCCTCTATGAAGGATAATCCTTTCATAAAATCAGTGCTGTTCCCAGTGTCCACATTGAGCTCATCTTTTTTTTGTTGTTTTTCTGAAGAGCCTCATTTTTATTTTATTTTTTTTTTCCTGATTCAGAGCTTTGGAATTTCCTACTTGCTCGACTGGCAGGGCAGTGGCACTGGTGGCTGTGTGAGCCCTGCCTGCTGGCTCAGGGTGGATTTTGGGTCCCTTTTGGCAGCAGCACCCTCAGGTGTCCTCCAGCTCTGCTTTTCTGCCTGACAACTCTGTCCTTACCCGACCATTTGCAGTCACAACCTCAAAACCTTGAAATCACAGCTGAATAAAATGGGGTTTTTGGGCTTTTTTTTGTTTTTTTTTTTCGAATCCTGGCTCAGCTGGAGCAGCTCCTCTCCACATTCCCTTTGCCCCCCACGTCCTTGGCACCCCTTCAGCATTATCCCATTGTTCCCATGGGCTCTCCCATCTGCTGCTCTCATTCCCAGGATGTCACTTCTGCAGACAAAAAGAGCTTTTTTTTTTTCCTCCCCTGCCTGTTTTGTTTGTGGAGTGCTTTGGAAAAAGGCATCTGGGGGTGGTGGGTGGGGAAAAGAGGAGCTATTGTGCTCCAGGGCTGCTTTTCCAGGTTGGATTTGGATGGGAATTTGTGGGACACACATTGAGAAATTAAGAAAATTACAACCTGGAAAAATATTCCAGGCTGGATCTTCTCAGCTCTGTTCCCAGCCCAGCTCAAGGCCAGGGAGAATTTCTGCCAGGGTGATAATTTGGTCACAATAAAAAGGAATTAATACCAAAGATAGAAGCCCTGTTGTGGTGTGTGCCCAGGCCCTGGCCATGGGGTGTCTTCTCTCTGAACCAATCTCCTTTTCTCTGCTCTGGGAGTTGCAGTCCTGCTATAAACCCAAGTGTGTTTGTGAATAAACTTGGCTCTTTCTTCCTGTCATGACAGACCCCCATGGAGCTGAGCATCTTAAAGGGTTAAAATCCCTTCCCATGGCTACAGGAATTCCTCACCTTTGGCACCTGGGATGGATCCAGGGCTCGAGATAAATCTGAGATCCAGAGCAGCCCAGTGTGTGCTGGGAAAAAAAAAAACAAATAAAAAAACCAACCAGAACATCACCAGTGCAGCACATTCCTTCCCCACACCGTGCAGATCCCGTGGAAAAAAATGGATATTTAGCTAAAATCTTTCCAATTTGATCATTTCCATGAATATTCCAATAAATCCAATCCCTGTTAGGGCAGCTCAGAGATTTGCCTGCTCTCGTTCTCGCTGTTGTTTTTATGGCAAGGAAAGCGCTGTGAAATTCCACTTTAAAAAAAAAAAAAAATTTGTATGTGCTGGAGAATATTTGGGGAAGCAGCTGGGTCTGGTGTTGATTCAGGACTCTCAGGTTTGCACATTAATTTGAATTAAAAAAAAAAAAACCTGCTCGGGAGACCTCAACAAAATATTTGTGTCCTCACTCGCTGCCCTTTCCCAGAAGGGGATAAATAAGAGTTGTTAAAATATAAAGTCTAATTTTGGTTTGAGGCACAACTCCTAGTGGGGAAAAAAAAAAAAAAAAAAAAGCCCTTTTTGCAGATTATTTTTTTGGCCCCAAAGTTGGCCCTGCCACTTTTGAGCTGCATTCAAACTTCTGTGTGTTCGTTTCCAAGTGCACAAACTGCAAAGGAGCTGTCAGAGCTCCTGAAAAATTAAAAAAAAATTTAAAAAATAAATAAAAAATGTCAATCCCAAAGGGATACCCTGAAGGAATATTCTTCTTTTGAGAGCCGTGTGTTTTATTTAAAAATAACCCTGTGTAAGAAAAATAAACAGATTGTAATTATGTATTATCTATATAAATATGTAGGTTCGATTTCTAGATAATTATTTGATTTCTATATAATATTAGATTTCTAATTTACATATTTTATATATAATATATATTTATATAAATAGATATCATTGAAATAATTATTTATTTTCTCTTATTTGTATATTTATATCAAAATACATACAGATGACATATAAATATAGAATTATTTCTGTTATAATTCTAGCAGAAATAATCAGTAACAACTCGTTATCTGAGGCAACTTTCACACCCAAATCTTTATCAGGCCGCTCTGGGAAGCATCAAACCCAGATGAAAATGGGAATATTTCCCAGCTGAGGGTGATTTTGATCCAGGAGTGGATCCCACCCAGAGAGAGGAGATGGATTTAGCAGGGATCTCCCTTGGCTGCAGGAACAAACCCCGGTTCCTGTTCTGGAGCAGATTTTGTACAAAAAAAAAAAAAAAAATCTGCTGTGATCCTGCCCAGGGGGGGCTGGAAATGCTTTGGAAATGTTTGGAAATTTATTCTGCATTGCTCAACCCTTCCGTGGTGGCTTCTCCCTCACACCCAGGCTGTTCCAGGACTTCCATCCAGTTTAATTCCAAAATAATTCCTTTGGCCTCCTGGCCTGCAGTTCCCAGTGAAAAGATATTTTCCACCCCTCTCTTTTCAATTAGGAGCACGGAGGAATCCCATGTGGATGCTTGACCACCTTCCCCTAAATTAGAGGATGGGAGTCTTCCCTGATTTCTGCAGCAGCTGCCTGAAGATAACCAGGCAACCTGGCCAAGGGGATTAAAAAAAAAACCCTAAATCATTGATTTGAATTATGATTTAAAGCAAACCAGAAAAATCGAGTAAGACATCACAGTTCAGGACTGACAACACCTGGTCTGCTTGTACTTATTTTTCCCTTAGTTATGAGAGTTGTAGAACATCTGCTGGAAAACAAATCCCTTTTTTTTTTTACTTTCCTAACACAGCTTTCCTTTGTCTCCTGACACTCATTAATGACCTTTGAAGAAATCTCCAAAAAGGAACTCTGTTAAAGGAAAACCTCTGAAGGCAGCAGCCACGGGTGCTGGGGGGTTGCATTAAAAGCAGTTTCCAGGTGGATTTTCCTCGTCCTTTCTGCTCCTGCCTTTGCCATGGGAGCAGTGCCACGAAGAATACCAAAGGGAAAAAAAAACCCAACAAAAAAAACCCGGGATAAAATACTGGGGAAACAAAATTCTGTTGTGTTTGTACAGCTGGAATAGTTTCACACTCTTGAAATCCCTGGCACGGTGGAGGAGGAATGGCAGGGCTGGGATGTACAAATGGGATTGGGATTGAGAGGAATGGGGGATTTGTTTTTACAAAACTGTGGGTAGATCAAGCCAGCACTGAGAGAGAAAATAAACAATGGGAAGGATTCCACTGATGGGTGAATGGAATAAAAAGAGATTTGCCTTTACAAACAAACTGCAGCTTTGCTGAGAAATGGAATTGGGCATTGAAAGAAGCAATGGGGAAAAGCCATGAATTCCATAGGAATTAAAAATGCCAAGGGAGGGTTGTACATTCGAGGGGAATCTCAGGGATCAGGGTTTGGGAAGTCTGGGCCTCTCCAGTCCCTCAGCAATGGGGAAAGAGAGAGGGAAATTGGGATAAAAAGGGAGGGGAGTCCTCCAAAAATGGGAGAGAGCCCAGGGGAATGGCCCATGGGCTCTGCCTTTATTCCATACAGGAAAAGGACTCCTCTGCCTCCTGTTGGGACACCAACCTCTGCTCTCTGTAAATTCATTTCCTCACAGGATGGTGCAGGAAAAGTGGGAATTCTCCACTCCCGGCTTTTGTCACAGCCCATCCCTGCTGGAGCAGCTGCAGGAATGTGCTGGAGCTGCTCATCCCATTCATTCCCTATTCCCTGTGGGAACAGCGGGATGGTCCCTGGTCCATTTGGGGTCACTCTGGTGCCACCAGCCCGACCTTGTCCCATCCTCCTGTTCCTGCCGTGAGCTCGGGAACACAAGAGGGAGCCAGATGCT